CAAGGAGGGGTCGCTATGAGTCGGGGTCGACTCGACGGCAAATAACAACAACAACAACAACATCACCACTAGGCACTCTCCAAGTTGTCTGTGCTGTGCCGTCAGGCTTGTTCAGGATTGCTGCCAGACCACAGCTCCATGTGTCTCCTTTTTTGGTACTTTCATGCAAATTCTTCTAATAGTTGGGGTTTAGTCCACTTCTGTATCTTTCCCTTCAAGGCTCAGGGGGTCCAGGATTATCTTCCGTGTCTGTGTTAATTGGTTCCCCATTTCTTTGTTGAAGAGGGTCTGTGCAGTCTTTCTGCCTATTCTGCCATCTTACCGGAAGTCATACCTCTTTATATTACAGTCAAAGATATATTATTCTTGATAGCGTGTGAAGATAAATAAGCTATTCAGGGCATTGTAACATACTGCATGAACTGATCAGGGAAACTATTAACTTGCTTTAAACACAGATATTCCCCTTAGAATGATAATTATGTTGCATAAGAGTTTCATTTAGGGGAATGCAGAGAAGACAACACATGAACCTGTGGCAAATTTCAAAAGTGCATACAGTGAAAAGTAAGCTTCCTAATCATCAGTGACTCTTCAGAAGCAAGTTTACCCTTTTTTAAAATAAAGATTTATTTACCTCAGAGAAGCTGCCTTTCCTGATAATTGAGTAGTTTAAAAATTGATAATAATTGTGCACAGTGTCTGCCACATAGTTGGCTCTCAGCAATAGATAACAAGATATCTATAGAATTCAAAAGGTGGGTATAAACAGGTAAAGCTGCTATTTCAGTTAAAGACAACTAAAGAGCATCTTAGAAAGGAAATGGATGATTAGGCATTTTGTGCACCAAATTTGGTTGTGTAATCAAGCTGGCACAGATCCTAAATTACTATTATTTTTTGTGCTTTTTTTAAGTGGAAGCTAAATTAACCACCTAATTATTTCCACTATTCTGCTTTCTTCAACAGCATAACTGTGGTTCACTTTCCTAAGCGTAATCTCACTTTAAAGCAAAATATATGGGTTTTAAAAAAAGGCTTCATTTAATATTATCTCTGCCTTTAAAATAAGGTTTACATGACAGAAATAATATTTTCAAAGATTTTGAGCAATATATTTATAACATTCTCTCTAGGAAATAAAAAGAAGTGATGTAGATATCTTTGAAATATGTTTTTATCACTTATAAAAGCAAATACTAGTGATACCCTAGAAAATTTAGAATTCACAAAGCTGTTTCACTTTACCGTATTTCCCTCATTACTCATCTCTCCACATATTATTTCCAGTTGATTTCAAAGGGCAGCTGAAGAAGATGAAGTATTATAGTGAAATGTGCAAAGACCTGGAGTTAGAGAACCAAAAAGGAAGAACACGCTCAGCATTACTCAAGCTGAAAAAACTAATGAGAAAAAAAAAACAAAAAACCAAGCCTCAAGCTGCAATATTAAACGATTCTCTAGGCAAAATAATGAACGATGCCAGAAGCATCAGAAAAAGATGGAAGGAATACATAGAATCACTATGTCAAAAATAATGGGTCAGTGTCCATCTATTTCAGGAGGTAGCCTATGATCAAGGTCCAGTGGTATCAGAAGAAGTCAAGGCTGAACTGAAGGAATTGGAGAAAAACAAAGCTCCAAGAATTGACGTTGGTGAGTAACAACTGGGATCTTAAAAGCTTGCAGGCAGCCATCTAGATGCAATGATGGGTCTCTCCTCATCCAGAGCAAAGAAGAGCAAAGAAAACCAAAGACGATGGAAACAAGTAGTACAAGGGATTGGTACCCCATGTGATACTCAGCCTGTATGACTCTGAGACCAGAAGAGCTAGATAGTGCCCAGCTACCACTGTCAACCACCCAGAGTGTGTGTGTAAGGTCTGTGTAGGAGATCCTGGATACAGTGGGAGAACAATATGGAACAAAACTCAAAATCATTAAAAAAAAAAAGGGGAGGGGGTTGCTGGTCTGATAGAACCTGGTGAAACCCCTGAGATACGGCCCCTAGCTGCCTTTCAGGTCTGGAATTTAACCCACTCCTGTGACTTCCAGCCAAACAAAAGACAGGCATATGAGGTGAACATTTTCATTAGGTAGATACACTCCTTGACGAGATCAATCGTGGGAGAGGCTATTTACACACAGGGAGACAGCTCAAGGGGCAGAAATGCATGGGAGAGAAGGGCATAGGGAAGAGGTAACAATGGGGAGGAAGTAGAAGAGAGCTGTTGCATTGTGGGAAATTGCAGTCAATGTCATGAGACAAAGTATATGTGAACTGCTGTATGGAAAGTGAGTTTGCTCTGTAACTTTCACCGAAATCACAATAAAAAATTAAAAAAATGAACAAGACTCCAGGAATTGACACAATACCTCTTGAGATGTTTCCACAAATGGATGCAGTGCTGGAGGCACTTACTCATTTACACCAAGAAATTTGGAAGACAACTACCTGGCCAACTAACTGGAAGAGATTGATATTTGTAGCCATTCCAATAAAGGTAGTCCAACACAGTGTAGAAATTATCAAAAAATATTAATATCATACACAAGTAAAATCCTGCTGAAGATCATTTAAAATACGGTTGCAGTAGTATATTGACAGGGAACTTCCAGAAATGCAAGCTGGATTCAGAAGAGGATGTGGAATGAGGGATATTTTTGCTGATGTCAGGTGGATCTTAGCCAAAAGCAGAGAATACCAGAAAGATGTCTGCCTGTGTTTTATTAACCATGCAAAGGCATTTGACTGTGTGGATCGTAAAAAATTATGGATAACATTGGAAAGGGTGGGAATTCTGGAACACTTACAGTTCTCGTGAGAAACCTGTACATAAACCATGAGGCTGTCTGAACAGAATAAGGGGATATTGCATGGTTTAAAATCAGGAAGGGTGTATGTCAGGATTGTATCCTTTCACCATACTTAGTCAATCTGTATGCTGAACAAATAATATGTGAAGCTGGACTATATGAAGAGCAATGTGCTGTCAGGATTGGAGGAAGAATTATTAACAATCTGCAATATGCAGATGGCACAATTTTGCTTGCTGAAAGAGAAGGTGATTTGAAACACTTACTGATCAAGATCAAAGACTGCAGTCTTAGTATGGGTTACACTTCAACATAAAATGAAAATTCTCACAACTAGACCAACAAGCAACATCATGATAAATGGAGAAAAGATTGAAATTGTCAGGGATTTCATTTTACTTGGATCCATAGTCAACACCCAGGAAAGTAGCAGTCAGGAATTCAGATGTCTTGCACTGGAAAAATCTGCAAAAGACCTCTTAAAGGTGTTAAGAAGCAAAGATGTCACTTTGAAGACTAAGATGCAATTGACCCAAGCCATGGTATTTTCATTCACCGCATATGCATGTGAAAGCTGGACAGTGAATAAGGAAGACCAAAGAAGAGTTGGTGCCTTTGAATTGTGTTGACGAAGAATATTGAAAATACTGTGGACTGCCAGAAAAATGAACAAAGCAGCCCTGGACGAAAAGCACACAGAATATGCCTTGGAAGCAAGAATGGCCAGACTTCGTCTCACTTACTTTAGTCAGGTTGTCAGAGGGGATCATTCCCTGAAGCATATCATGGTTGGTAAAGTAGAGGGTCAGCATGGAAAGAGAAAACTCTCAACGAGATGGATTGACACGGTGGCTGCAATGATGGGCTGAGCAATGGGCTGAGACATAGCAAGGATTGTGAAAATGATACAGGACCAGGCAGTTTTTTGTTCTGTTTTATATAGGGTCACTATGAGTTGGAGCCAATTGGCTGGTACCTAACAACAACCTAGTCATCTGGTAGGTATCACAAAGACCATGGCTGGAAGAGCTGTATTAAATAATTCACAGCAGCACAGTAGATAAGATGAGATGAAAAGTAAATGATGAATATTGTAGCTAACTTATGGCAAGTGTATATTGTAACACATGACTGCAGATTAAAAGCCTACTTTCTGGAAGAGAGAACCTGCTTGGATAATTTCTTTAGAAGGATCAGCATCCGTCTGGTCCCTGTGAATTGGAAGTTAAAAGATGTCCCTAATGTCCAACTTTTCCAGACTGCTGTACCACTCCATCATCTCTGATATCAACTCCTCCTCCTCCTCCTCTCAGTACTGTCCCTCCCATCTCAGGGTTCTGTATTTGGCTGTAATGGCTTACAGAACTCATACACTGCCGAGGAAATGGGGGTCATGGGGGCTGGCAAGTCCCAGATCTGTGGGTCAGGTGTTGATCTGGAGGGTTCTCCTCACTCACATGGTTGCAGGGGCTGATGAATGCAAATTGGCAGGCAAGTCAGATGACTGGCTGCTGTCTCAAGCCTCAAGAACCCAGGGTGAAATTACGGCAAAGCAGACGCAGGATCCAGAGCGAGGGAGTGAGCTCTGCCAGGGTATTTGTATATATACTCCATTTATATATACTCCCAAGGAAACTAAGGGTGGCGACTTGAGTGAGTCATACCCTCTGGTAAAGCAAGACTCCATACATCACACCCTAATCCTGCCTTATTAACATGATGGACAGCTTACCCCAAAATGGGACCATAACCACAGGCATAGAGGTTAGGTTTTACAGTATGTCACAAAATAGAGGACTGTGGCTAAAAGGACCATATTAATTCACTGTATTACTATACCTTTTGAGCCAGAAGCTTCTAACCAGAACTGTAAGGTATTTTTCGTTTTCTTTAGAGTAGGGTAGGATCACTAAAACATACCAAGAAGCTTAAATTTCTGTGTGTGTGTGTGTGTGTGTGTGTATACATCTATATGTATTTTTTAATTTTATTTTGAGGAATATCCTAAAGTCGTAAAGACTTTTATAGTGTAATATTTCTTATACAGTTTTTATGGTTTGTGTTACTGTGTTACCCCTTAATTTTCATTGTCACTCTAAATCCAGTTATTTCCATTTTTTTAGATATTTAGCTTCCTGTGGTATACTGATGAGCAGAACTCTTCCACTGTGTACCTCAGTTGTGCCTAAGGCGATAAATGCAAGAACTTTCTTCAGAATCACTGCACCACTAATAAACAAAAGAAAAGAATATTCAGAGAGGAGGATAATAGGGTTTGTATGTAATAATAGTTCTATTAAAAGAGCATTTTCATAATTTTCATTGGACTATCATGCCTTTTTCTTTAGGTTTTGTTCTTATAGCCTTAAGCTCTGGTTTTTTTCTAGGTTAGCTTTCTGTAGCCTTTTCTGTTTTATAAATATTTGTTGAAAGAATATAATTATATGGTAATTTTATAGGCTATAGATGTGTAAACCTTACTATATAAAGGAAATAATTTATTTTAACTCTTTATGACCAGAATTTTATGCCTTGTTCTTTTTTACAGTTCTTTTTTATCAGTATTGTTACTGATATATTGAGCCATATATGTTTGTATAGCTCCTTCACATGCACATGTACATCAAAAAATACACATATAACTACTAAGAGGCTCCAGTGATCTAGAGCAGGGGTCAGCACACTTTTTCTCTGAAGGGTCAGGTAGTAAATATGTTCTGCTTTGCAGTCTCTTGTTATTACTTAGCCTTGTTGATATAGCTCCAAAGCATTCGCACATGGTGCGTAAACAAATGGGCATAGCTTTGTTCTAATGAAACTTTACTTACAAAAATAGATGGTGAGCCAGATTTGGTCTCTAATCTAGGGGTATATATATAGTAGAGTATATTAGTGGACTGAGAATCTACAGTTCAGCTACCCACCATACAATATCCCTCCATAAGCGGATTTGTAGAATTAAGTATTACATGAAACTGTAAAAGTACATTGCTTTCATTTTAATCAATTGCTTTTTACCCTCTGGCTTTTTGGTCGTAGAGGCCTTTCAGCAGACTCAGTTTTTGACTCTATTAAGAGTCCCTAGGTGGTAAAAATGGTTAAGTGCTTGACTACTAACCAAAAAGTTTATGGTTCAAATCTACCCAGAGGTGCCTTGGAAGAAAGGCCTGCTGATCTGCTTCCAAAAGGTCACAGCCTTGAAAACCCTGTGCAGTGCAGTCCACTCTGCAGCACACGGGGTTGCCATGATGCAGGATCCACTTGTTAGTCGCTGCATGTGTTAAGGTAATGATAGCTGCTATCCAAAACAACAACAACATCCATAGGCAGCTCTGCTCCAAGTAGTGATTCAAGAACCTAGGCATCATCCAGGAACTCTGGTAGTGTAGTGCCTAAGGCACCTGACTGCTAACCAGAAGGCTGGCAGTTCAGACCCACCAGCCACTCCTCAGAAGGAAGGTTGGACAATCTACTTCCATAGTCATACCGCCTGGAAAACCCAAGGTGGGGTCGCTATGAGTTAGGTCTGACTCAAAGGCACATAACAACAACAACACAACAGGCATCATCCAACTTATGACTTGTATAATTCCTTAGGCTTCAAGAGTTTTGTTTTTGTTTTTTTTTTAAAGAAGGGTACTGGGTACTGCTTTTATGTCTGAAAGTGACATGAATCACATCCACTTGTGATAATTGGCAATAACTAGTAAATGTGACCCCATCTAAATGCAAGGTGGGCACTGAGAATTGTAGTGGTTTAATGGACAGCTACTTCAGCAACAAAGTTATATAAAGGAAGCACAGGTCTTTGGATAGGTAGCCATCATCGCCACAGCTGGTATCTTACACAAGAGAAGTTGCAATTTAAAGATAAGATGTGATTTGTCTACTTTATTTTTGAATTGCCAACAATACCTGCCTTTCATTGTATACCTGCCATTTGACACAAACATTGCTGGGTACTTTACATTTAGTATTTAATCCTCACAATAGTCATGTGAAGTAAGGTATTGTTATTCCTATTTTAGAGATGAAGAAACTAAAGCTCAGCAAGAAAATATACATTAAGTATCATGACTCCAAAGCTTATTTTTTTCCACTATTCTTTACTTCCTTCTCATGCTAAAATTATTTTTATTACAAATTGGACTTACCCAATGGTCTTCATCTTATCTTTTTTTTCTCCACGTTTAACATAAACACATAATGATTGCTAACATTTATTACCAAACCAGACTCACTGCCGTCGAGTCAATTTTACTCACAGAGACCCCTCCTTGGGTTTTTGAGGAAGTGTCTCTGCAGAAGTAGATTGTCCAACTTTCCTTCAGAGGAGTGGTTGGTGGGTTTGAACCTCCAGCCTTCTGGTTAGCAGTCAAATGCCTTAGGCACTATGCTACCAGAGCGCCCAGCATTTAAGTGCTTGTTAAAATCATACGTTGTGCTGAAGCTATTTCATTTAACCTTGAAAAGAATCCTATAAAGCATTCTTCATCCAATTATGGATGAAGAAATTAAAAGGTTAAGCAACCTATGATTACTATGACTCCTATGTGTTAGGGTTTCTATTTGAACACAATCTTTTCTGAGTTAGAAAGTTGATTCCCTTAGCCATCATGTTATAGTACTTTATTAGTCTTTAAAGACTACTTTTATGGTAATTAATTTCCAGGCTACAAAGTTTTATAATTTTCCATTTGACTTATTGAAGCATTTATTTAAAAGTGTCTGAGAAGCCAGTGTGGGTAGTTTTTTGCCCCCTCTGCTGTATGCCTCCTTTTATAATGATAAAAAATAATTTAAATAGACATATAGACTCAAATTCTGTCATATTCCAAACATTTTCTTTTATAATCAGATTGTGTTAAATTACTTCTTCATTTTGGTACAAATTGTATTTTTATAATGTTCAGGTTTTTTGAGCAAGAATAATAATAAGTGAGCAAGTCTCACTTATTATTAAGGTGATTTTTTACGTACACCAATGGAGGTTTTGGTAATGTGTTTATGTAACTTAAGCTTTGAACTTTATTATAAAGTTTATTTCTAGGTATTTTGCATTTCTGTGCTATTGTTTTCTAACTG